GCAGGAATGGGGGACATCTGTAATAGAGCCAACAATAAAAATAAGAAGAACCTGCACATTTAACAATGCCTTGGGTTAACAGTTTAAACTGTAAAAAGGTCTTTTTATCACCTCCACCTTTCCAAGACCTTCCAAAGTCTGGGTGTAAAGGGTTTAAGTATTTTGATAATGGGATGAAAGGGCCTTTGTCTGCAACTATGTAATATGTAGTAAGAACCATAAGTAAATTTCCATACCTTTTCATTAATTCATACGAATGTATTTAGTTCCTGAAGTGTGTACAGGGACAGTAGGCCCTAAGGGTGCAGTGGTTAGCAAAACTGGTCTATTTGAAAAGACAATCCAATAATTATAACAAATTGATAATGAGGAAAAAGAAACTTCTTAGGACTGTAAGATGTGTGTACAGGTGTACATTCACAATCATGTTATTTTGCTTCAAACAACTTTGTAAAGTGTTAAAACTGGTAAAGTCCCAGTGTGTTGATACAACATTCTGCCCTCTGTTCTTAGCAGATGAAAAACACATCAGAGCTTGTATGCACAGATGGACATCATTTGCCCAAGGCAGGCTTTAGCACTTTCTTTTCTGACCTGAGGAAAAGGAGAGAAGGGACTACCTGGAAAATTAAAGTCAAGGTAGTTATACTACACATTTGTCCATATTTAAAACGGGAAGCTAATTTGCCTAACTGGGTGGTTGAATGTACAAAATGCAAATGTTATGTGGGGTTGGGTTCCCCTGTTTGCCAACTGGCACTAGCAACCGAGTTGGGGTAAATTGAAATACCAGCTCTCTTATCCTATGACCTGAAATCTTTCTAGTCTCCACCTCATTCTTTGTCCAGAACTCATAAGGATTTCCTATCCTCTCAACAGTCCCACCCCATTTCTCCCTGATTTCCCACACTCAGACCTGTAACTCCCAGATCTGTATTTCTTTTGAGAGAAATAAAAGGCATTGTCACCAAACCATCACACCTTTCAAAATCCTATAAAATATTATCCCCTTTTGGTCATCCTATCCCTCTTTCCCCTTTTCTTCCTGAAGTCTACCATTAAGGGATAAGCTTCATGGAAGGGAAGGGCCAGTTCATCTAGAACAAAAAAGTCTCTAGGGTAGGGAGGGAAAGCATATGACTGCTGCTTATCAGACCAAAAGAGGAAGAAGTCATTTTGATAGTAAGGAGAGAGATTGGCAGGAACAATAGAGTAAAAGGTGTCAGCTTGATCCCTCATAAACCCTAGGGTTCAGCCTGGTGCAGTGCAAGTGGGGGATGATTAGTGAGAGCAGCAACTCCAGATAGCTGATCCTTTCCAAAATGACAGTAGTGGGGGTTCCACAGGGGTTAATTCAGGTTAACCTTGACCAGGTGGTGAGTGTTTAGGAGTTCTAAACTAAAGGGCCAACCGGAGAGCTTTCTTTATACTGTTATTCTCATAAAGAGATAAAAGCGGTGCCCTAGCCAGTTTGGCTCAGTGAACAGAGCATGTGCCTGTGCACTAAAGGGTCCCAGGTTCGATTCCAGTGAAGGGGGCTGGATCCCCAGTAGGGTTCGTGCAGGAGGCAGCCAGTCAATGATTCTCTCATCATTGATGTTTCTATTTCCCTCGTCCTCTCCCTTCCACTCTAAAATCAATAAAGATATATAAAAAAACAAACAAATAAAATCTCTTTTTTCTAAAGTGGCCATACCCATTTATATTTCTTATTGAAAGCAAGGAACCTAGTTCTCAAATAACTGCACTAGCCATGGAGTGCCTACCTCTAGATTTACTAAATGAGAAAAACAATCCCTTTTGTTTAGTCATGATAGTCTGGTTTTCTGTTGTGTGAAGTACAATCCTACCCAGATATTTGATTGTCTGCCTTTCTCACTACATCATGTCAAATATCATGTCTATATTTGCTACCTATGTAAGGTAGAAAATTCAACTCAAAACTGCTTTAAGCTATATGGAAGTTTATGAACTCACATAACTGGAGATCCAAAAGTAGGACAGAACTAAGAGTTGACATGATCCCATTATCCCAGTTCCATTTCTCTGCTATTCTTTTTGTGTGTTTTTTTAAATATATCTTTATTGATTTAAGAGAGGGAGAGGAAAAGAGAGAAACATCAATGAAAAGAGAGAATCTTCGATTGGCTGCCTCCTGCACACACCCCCACTGGGATTGAGCCTGTAACGGGGGCATGTGCCCTTGACCGGAATCAAACCCGGGACCCTTGAGTCCACAGGCCAACACTCTATCCATTGAGCCAAACCAGCTAGGGCTCTCTGCTATATTTTTTACCTCCCCTGTGTATTGACTTCATATATTCAGGTTGCCATCATAAGCACTGTAGGAATTTCATGACATATGTCACAGCTCAACATGCCTAGTGGGAGTGTGGATCACTTCTGGAAGTTCCCCTGGAAAGGTTTTCCTGAAAACCTATCCTTAAAACTCACTGAGGTGCAGTGGGGTACATGCATGATCCTAATCCAGTCCCTGGCAAGAGGTGCTACTATCCTTAGAACAGTCCAGACCACCCCTGGAGCCCAGGAGGCTGAGCTACACCAACTGTGGGTAGGAGGGAAGGATTCCCGAATAACAGCAGGGTTCTGTTAGGAAGGGAGAAGGGAAAGGATGTTGAGTATGTAAACAGCTCATTTTTTGTATTCCCAACATCTTGTAGACAAGCTTAAAAGCCAAAACAGAACACCCACACAGTTTATGCTTTATCTCAACAATAAGTTTCTTGAGTGAAGTATGCTTTACTCTTATTTATACTAGAGTTTTAACTCAATCCTGAACATATTAGGAATTCAAATTGTTGATTTTTTAAAATCAATAAGTCTGTGAGAGAAAATGGCTTAAATTATTTAGCTTCCTAGATTTTTTTGCACATTGCTATTTTTTCTTGCTAATCAACTTCTTTGACTCCCAAAACTTAGAACTGCTTGGGTACACAGGAATAATTCCAAGCCCACAGGTGTACATTTATTCAACAACTATACTGATGTACTAGTGACTTTTTCTGGAAAAGTAAATCAGTGAAGTCCCTAAAGTTCCTTTTTCTTGCCAAAATGAAGAAACCGGGGAGATGAGATTCTGCTTTGCTAGAGGCATTTGTCTAACTTACAAGTTCCAAATCATCCCAAAATTCCAGGGTTCTTTACTGTCAATAACTAGAGACGACTACTGATTTTTTAAAATAGTTGATTTTCAGCCAAAACCGGTTTGGCTCAGTGGATAAAGCGTCGGCCTGCGGACTGAAAGGTCCCAGGTTCGATTCCGGTCAAGGGCATGTACCTTGGTTGCGGGCACATCCCCAGTGGGGAGTGTGCAGGAGGCAGCTGGTCGATGTTTCTCTCTCATCGATGTTTCTAACTCTCTCTCTCTCTCCTTTCCTCTCTGTAAAAATTCAATAAAATATATTTTAAAAAAATAGTTGATTTTCAAAGGTGTAAACATTTTATATTATCCATGGTGGCTTATCTCAGAAGGAGAAAAGAATATGCCTCTATACTAACTTTTCATCACCAGACAAATGTGGATCATCACGAAATTGACTTTTATACCTCTCTCCTCATCCTAAAAGGTATTGTTTCAAAAGTTTGGGGCCGTAAGGTAATACTGATTTCCTCTGTCTCTGTAGGCCCATTGATAAAGTCATTACTTGACAGTACCAGTTCACATGGATTGATAAGCTTGGTTTGCAGAAAGTACCCTTGGCTTGGGGCATCAGTGACCAAGGATTCAACTCGCAGCTTCTTGCAAAACGCGGATTATGGATCATTTTGCCACGACCAACACACTAAATGAGATTCAGTATTTAAGCACAATTCCAGGTAATTTCATGATTTAATACACTTGCTTCTTCATTCACTTCTCCAAACGTTCCAACCGATTTTTCGGCTTCCAAATGGGCCAGGAATTTAGGAAAAGAAAGAAGAGGCATGGATAGGGATGGGGAACCCTCGACCCGGGTCGCAGCCTGGGCGTGGCTCGGCCCTGCGCACCGAGACCGAAGGCCGAGTACTCGGCGCGGCCCCAGGCTCCGGATGCGGGGTGTCCAGCCCAGACCTCGCCCTGGGGGAAAGGAGAGGCGGAAGCCAAGGGGAGGAAATGCAGTCCATCCACTGGAGTCGCGGCTGTGGCCCTGAAGCGAACCTCAGACCCGCCTGCCCGCCGGGAGGCCGGGAGCAGGGACCTCCGACAAAATGGCGCAGCCGCACGGCGCAGGGTGGGCGACTCGGGCCGGCGCGCGCTGGGCCGTCCGGGCGTGTTTCCGGACCAGCGGAGTCGGAAACGGACTCCGGGCGCGCGCTCCGGAGAGAGTAGGCGGGGCCGCTTTCCCGGAAGTGCGGCTGCCTGGCAGGGAGCTTGGCCCTGCATCTCCGTAGGTGCCCCGCGGAGGGAGAGCGTAGAGAGGAGAAGCGGTTCCTGCGGAGATCTCGGTCCTCGGTGCCGCTGTGTGTGTGCGTGAGTGTGAGTGTGGGTGAGTGTGCAGGGGTCCTGCTGAGTGTGTGTGAGTGTGAGTGTGCAGGGGGCGGGACCCCAGGCAGGGCAGGGGTCCCTCTGAGTGTGTGCGTGTGTGAGTGTGAGTGTGCAGGGGGCGGGACCCCAGGCAGGGCTGTGTGGAGGGAGACTCGCAGAGGAAAGAGAGTTTGGCTGTGGTTCCCGAGTCCCAAAAGGAGAGGCGGGATGGATGGGCCCCTACCTCCCCGGGAGTCCGCCAAGTTCATTGCTGAGAACAGCCGAGACGTGTCCATCGACGGCGGAGGCGTGCAGAGGGTGGCGGAGCTGCTGCTCGCCAAGGCCGCGGGCCCCGAGCTGCGCCTGGGCGGCTGGAAGGCCCTTCATGAGCTGAACCCCAAGGCGGCCGACGAGGCCGCGGTCAACTGGGTGTTCGTGGCAGACACACTCAACTTCTCCTTCTGGTCGGAGCATGAGGAGCACAAGTGTCTGGTGGGCTACCGGGGCAGGACGTACAGTGGGTACTGGTCCCTGTGCGCCGCCATCAACAGAGCCCTGGACGAAGGTGGGTGCCCCTTCGGGCCGTCAGACCCGCAGCCTTTGAGGCGTCAGCTTCCCGGGAGGGTCCCGAGGAGCGGGGTGGGAGATGGAGTCATGTGCTAATAAGGCGAACCTGCAGTTCCCCATCGCCAGCCCCGCAGCTCACAGTAAAAGTATGCTACATCCTTACTCAGTGGGAGCTGATCCTGGCATCAGTGTCGCAGCTAAGCACAAAAGCCAGTCTGATGCAATCTTAAGAACAAAGGGGACAGACAGAGAACACGTTTTACGCAGCCAAAATACACCTGATGTAATTTTACAGTTGTTAGAAGTGGATGAAACAGTACAGATGAATCCATAGAAAATGAGGCACCTGGTCTGGTTTTCTACCCCTCATCCACTTTTAGTTCATTCCTGCAACACTCATTTAGTTTCATATTAACTATGTTGTAAAAGAAAGGAGTCTGATAAATATAAAAATATGACATGGTTCCTATGCGTTTCCTTTTCTCCCCAAGGGATACCAATAACTAGTGCTTCGTACTATGCCACAGTGTCCCTGGATCAGGTTCGGCATATACTCCGTTCTGACACGGATGTGCCCATGCCTTTGATCGAAGAGAGGCATCGGATTCTCAATGAAACCGGGAAAATCTTGCTTGAGAAATTTGAAGGCTCCTTCCTTAACTGTGTCCGAAAAAGTGAAAAAAGTGCACAGAAGTTAATGCATCTGGTAGTTGAAAACTTTCCCTCTTACAGAGATGTGACTGAGTTTGAGGTGAGTTGCTTTCGTTGGGGATTTTAGAATTCTTGATTATCTTTTCATTGTCAAGTCTGTTAGTTTCTGGAACTCCTTTTTGAGAATAAAAACTTAAATTTTGAAGTTTGTTCTTGTGGACAAGGAATATAACAAATTAAGTAGTGTTTCAAAGACATTACTTCTCTAGTGATTTCTAATCAGTATATTCCCATAATCCTTTTGTCCTTTTTTTGTTGTCCTTTTTATTTTTTGGTTGTCCTTTTAAAATGTTTCAAACCTAAATACAACACTGAACCTTGAACATAATATTGTCATCTAGGGATAAAGAGGTCCTTTTAATACTTCAAAAAATCTACTTTCATTAGATGAAAATCAGAATGTATACTAAACTTTCTCTATTTAAGTATATTTAAATAGTTATTTTATTAAATTCTCTACTTATTTAAATACATTTAAATAATTGTTTTATTTAATATTTTTTAAATAATTCTCTATTTAAAAGTATTTTTTGCAGAGTTCTGATATATATGTATATTATAATGTGTTTTCCTTTACATGGACAGAATACTTTGACAGTATTATTGCTTTATGGTACAAATAATTTAAAGAGATTTACTTTTAAAATGGTGAGCATTTTGTATACCGTTCCAGGTTGTAAAAATTTAGAATCTTATCACTGTATATTTTAACTGTGACAAGAATTGAAAGCAACTTCAGCAGATTTACATAATATAAATCTGTTGATTTATTGCCTAAGTTAATGAATACTTAAGTCAAATGTTCAAGCTACCCTTTTGTAGTCACATTTCAGCAACTAAAATTACCAATAATATTGCTTATTAAATTGCTCTTTAGAGCCCAAGGACAAGGGGCATATTGTCCCCTTTGCAGCAGGAACCAGTTGAAAAAGAAAGTTTAACTAGTTTATCTTAGGTTATTTAGATAATAGTTAGCTATGAAGTGAGAGGAGGCCTGATTGTGTATGTAAAAATTCTTTTATTTGCAAATGACAGAAACAAACTTGAAAAATCTATCAAAAAGAAGAATTTTTGGAAGGTATTTCGGAAAGGCACATCCAGGATCAATCAAGGGCTTGTGCCATCAGGATTCCGTTTCTCCTTTTAGCTTCTGTTGACTCCATTTTTCTCTTCCTGTTGACCAGCTTTTTCCATGGAGGTCCATGAACTTTGCATCTTATTGCTTCAGCACGGGAGGGGGAGGAGGGAGAGAAGAGAGGGAGGGAGGGAGGGAGAGAGAGAGAGAGAGAGAGAGAGAGAGAGAGAGAGAGAGAGACTTTCTCAGTTTCAGTTCTAAAACTTATGTGCAAGGACTGATCGAACTGGCAGGGATTGTGACCGTTTGGATGTGGCTTTCAGGGTGTGTGGATGGGCAGAGACAGTTCTTAGAAAAGAGTCCATAGGTTAGCTTACAGAACTTCATTCTGTTTTAACTAACCATTTTGCTAATGCAGAGGTTACTTTGAGATTTGTCTTCAAAGTACATCATTTCAGCCTTGTTTTTCAAGAAATGGATCCAGTTCCTGGGTCCACTTGAATATAAAGGGGGGCAAAAGTAGGTTTATAGTTGTGAGTACACGAAACACAGAGTTTATTCTTGTATTATTGCTTATTAATTAATGTATTATTTTCCAAACAAACAAGTATAAACCTACTTTTGCCTCATCCTATATTTGTAGAGAATTTTTTTGAGTTAAATTATAACCCACTATCTTATAATGCTGAGTTAATTTTTTTCTTCCATGTATAAATATAATTGGTAGTTTACTTTTGTTACATATTAACTTTGACCATTTCCAAAAGTGGCAGACAAATTCTAGCTGTTGGTCAATTATGTCTTTGTCTGTGAATAAGTTAATCATAGTATCTGAAAGGAAACAGGCAAAAATGAATGTTGTGATTCTCTTCCGGGGTGAGTTTAGGGATGATTATTTTCTTCTTTATACCTTTCTATATTTATACAATTAATGTGAATTATTTTACAATTAGAAAAACATATATAAACTCTCTAAAGAAATACTATCTAGCTATTAAAAATAATAAGTAAGTCGATTATAGTGACACAGAAATATGTACATGAAGTAATGCCATTGAAAAAGAACACTAAATAGTATCATGATTATATAAGTTATATTTTATGTGCCTTGAAAAATATAGGAAGTTAATTTGGAGTGATAGAGGTAATTTAATATTTATTACCCCCCACCCTTTTTTTTTTTATAAAAGATCTATTACCAACAGAGTAAGGTTATTCTTCCCTTGAAAAATATTTTCAACATGTCTTTTTTTTATAGCATTTCATAAAGCTTTGAGATACCCAGGTAACATTTATATTCTCTTCACTCATCAGGGGAAAAGAATTTCTTTTTACAAACGGGCCCAAATCCTTGTGGCAGATACGTGGAGTGTGTTAGAGGGAGAAGGAGACGGCTGCTTTAAGGACATCTCCAGCATTACCATGTTTGCTGACTATAGATTACCTCAGGTACTTGTTCACCTGGGAGCCCTGAAATACTCTGAAGGACTACTGGAGAAGCTTCTCAAAGGTTTGTCAGCTTAATTAAGACATTCTTTGTTATACTGTGAATTATTGTTGAGTCTCTAGTTTCTTTCACAAAAGGTCTCCTTTCCTTAGAAAAAAGAAATACTTATTGTTAAAAACATACGTGAAGAAAAAATGCAAGGGCAATTAAAATATGGAGAAAATTGCTTTTTGTTGTTATACTATGGAATATGGATATTGTGGGAAATTGCGCTATTCAAGATATTATAATTTTAGAGCATCATAATAGAGTGAAATCTAAATTTCTCTTACATGAAGGTGTGTAACACTAAGACAGTTCATCAAGTGTAGTATTTGAAGAGTATTAAGCCAAAGAACACACTACAATGTGAAATAAAATAGGGGATGAGAGGTAATATGAACTGGATTTTTAGTTTGGAGGCTTCAAGGTCTGCCACTGGGTTATCTTGCACAAGTCACTCAGTTTTCTTTCTTTTTAAATTTTTATTTATATGAGTTTATTTGTTTACTTGAGCCAAACTAGTGACATGCCAGGAAGCAAGATTTCAAATGCTCCAGTCATTCACTTTTCTAGGTTTGTTTATTTACCATTATTGGATTTGATTATTGATTCTCAAAAGTGGAAGCCTTATTATAATATAAGAGTACAAATAAATGTGTTTGTGAGAAAATTAGCTTTTTGTTTCTTAAACATTTCTTTGTGTAAGGAAAATAATTATATTGTAAAATTTTAATGTTAATTTCTCTTTTGGGTGCTGTATTTTCAGCTACTTTTTTCTTTATTTTTAAAAGAAAGTCATTTTTATGTTGCATAATTTTCTCTTGTGAAATAGATTTTAATCACTCAAGAATAATACAGAATATAAAGACACCATTATTCCTGTGGTTGCTTCTTCCAGGCTTTAATGCTGCCTTGGGCAATCCACTTTGTCTCTCTGTTTTCTCATTTGAAAAATAACAAGCCATTTTATGTCATAATGCTCATGTCCCGGGTCATTATTAGATACCTTTAAAAGGGACAACTGTTAGCAGTCAGGGCTTCCTTTGCATACAGACATAGTCAGCTGATATTTTTTTTGGCCAATGTATATGCTGCTCATTCCTATCTCTAAACATTTTCTTGCCTGGTTTTCCTCACCCAAATTCAAATTTTCTTTTTTCAGTAAAAATCCTACACATCCACAAAGGCTTAGCTCCAGTGCTACCTCTTCCACATAGCTTTTCCTGACTCTTCATGATTTGTCCATCTCCTTCTCTTGAATTTTTATAGCATCCAATTGTCTCTGCTACTGTGAAAAAAACCCTGGTTAGAAGGGATCCATCCAATATAGTTGGACAGGGTTGTCTGAACTTCTCCTGCCATCCTCATCGTCTCCAGATGCTTTTTCCAGATGTGCATCTGCAGCTGTTACTGCCTTCATTTTGTCCAGCTCCTAAAAGAAGACTGCTGTCCTTACCAGTTTGGTATAGGGTGAACAAATACCTTTACCCCTGTTTAAACAAAGTTGGATTTTTTTTCCTGAAAAGTACTTTATTAGCAAACTAGAGAAGAAACAGAAACTATACATGTAAAGGTATATGTACTGAAAAAAAAATATCTTAAGTGAAATCTAAAGCCAGGTGGCTTGACTAGATGAGGTAGAAATTTCCTTAACTGACCTCTAATGATTCTGCCTCCAAACTTGAGGATGTGCTGCACTTATATTTCTTTTACTCTCCTCTTTTGAGGATATCTCCAGGACAGTCCTTGGAAAGCCTACCCAGATTTTTGTTTATTTTATCTTTAACCCATCTCTTCACCAAAGGCATATATATATATTTAGCTAATTATAAAGACTGACAATGCAATTTGGCTAGATTTAGATTCTTCACTGTGATTCTAGGATTGAGTTTTAGGCCTAATATGTTGGCCACGTTGCCTTCCCTGACTCTATATGTTTGTCATTTCTCTCAAATGGTTTCACTTCTTTCTCTTTCAAAAATCCATGTCCTTTCCCCCTTAGTCTCATAAGGCTGACATGCAAAATTACAACAAACTGGATGGCTTAAAACCACAGAAATTTATTCTCTCACAGCTGTGGCAGTTAAGTCTGAATCCCTCTAAAGGCACTCAGGAAGAATCCTTCCTTACCTCTTTCTAGTTTTTGGTGGCTCCCAATAAGTCTTTGCACTTTTTGGCTTGTAGCTACATCACTTCAAGTATGGCCTTCCCTGGGTGTCTCCTCTCTCTTTGTATCTGCTCCTTTTCTTCCAAGGACACCAGTCATGGCCTATGAGACCCACCCTAATCCTGTGTAACCTCATCTTAATATGATTACATCTGCAAAGAGCCTATTTATTATAGATAAGACCACATTCACAGGTACCAAGAGTTTGACTTGACTGGTATCTTTTTGGAGAACACAGTATAACCTACAGTTACTTATTGGGGGATAACAAAATACGCTAAAATTTAGTGACTTAAAACAAGGCACTTATCATCTCATGGTTTCTGTAGGTCAGGAGTCTGGGTGCTGCTTAACTGGATGCCTGTGGGTCAAGGTGGCAGTCAAGCTGTCAGCTGTGGTAGTGGACTCATCGAATGACTCTACTTGGGTGGTGGTATCTGCCTCCAAGATCACTGTTGTGGTTGATTTGAGAAATCTGGCAAGTTGATAGTCAAGTTTGGGAGAATTGATAAACAAGAGACTGAAGAGGAAGGGATGGATTTGTATGCTGGCACCTGGAGCAAAATAAGGAAATGGAGGGGTACCGCTAGTGTCTGTTCTTCCACTGGTTCTTCCCCAGTGACCAGTGCCTAAGCCCTTGGGAGAGATGGGTAGATGGGACATAAGTAACATTACTTAAGATCCCAGGTGACAGAGTGGAACCTAGTGGGGCTGGGGCATTTTTCCTAAGTCTCATTGGATCATTGTGCTTATCAGGTACTGTAAAGATCTGTGTAAGAGGTCTATAGATGTGTTCAGCCTGAAGAGTGTTTTAAGCAATTTTTATTAGTTATCAACACTTGACAGGAGATTTCATATGAAAATCAAACCTCTGACTCTTATAATATTTCTTTTAGTAAATATTTATTGGGGGCTAGTATGTGCAAGTTGCCATGCTAGGTCCTAGGAATATTGAAACAAACAAGCTAGACATCATCCATATCCTTGTGGAACTTAACTTGCAATTTTGAATTAATGCCTGAGTTTAGAAATAGTTTAAGTTACCAAAAATAAATAAAGTCAGAGGTTTACAGTTTTAAAACTGTGTTTTGTTCTATAGTACTGTTCTGAGTAGATTTCATATCATTGACTGTCGGTGCTTCTTGCTCTGTTTTTCCCCTTGCAGGAGAAATGCTCTCGTATGGGAGTAGGCAAGAAGTAGAAATCAGAGGGTGCTCACTTTGGTGTGTTGAGCTGATCCGGGATTGTCTTCTGGAGCTTATTGAAAAGAAGGGTGAAAAAACGAGTGAAGAGATCAATTCCATTCTTCTGGATTATTACTTATGGGACTATGCCCGTGATCACAGGGATGATATGAAAGGAATTCCATTTCATCGAACACGTTGCATATATTACTGACCCAAAGCGTAAATTGACCCAAAGAAAACTGCTTGCATTTTTATATCACATAATTGTTTATACAATTTCACTTCGATATTAAGAGAAAGTGGTAGGGTTACAGCAACAAGAACACTGATTACCCAGTCTCACTTAAAAATTTTCTCCTGATGTATCACTCTGTATTCCCAAACTTATCCTTTTCCTGCTTATTTAGTTTGACACTATTTTTCCTTTTTGTGGACACATGACAGAAATAGTGAAGGAACTTTAATGCTTTAAATCTCGGATTTCTTAAAATTAATCATGTCTTATAATTAATCTTCAGTGACAGTATTTCACCTTTTTAGTTGGTATCTTTTCACAATGTATAATTTTCTGTATACCTTAATCATGAGATATGAGACAGGGGTGGGTAAGGTCTTTGCTATATAATTGCTGATACTCTTATAAAATCTTGACAGCTTGTTTTAAACTTTTTATTGGTAATGACAGTGGGATTTTTACATAATGATTTCAATTCAAGATATCAGTCTGTCCAGTTTTATTTTTCTTTCAGAGTATGTAACTACATTGAAATTGAATAAAGATTTTAAAAACTTTTCTTAAACCTGAAATGTATTCTTTCATTCAAATAGAATTGACCAGATATAATTTTAAAAGGTTTACAATGAATTTGATTATTTACTTTATATTTCAGAACTCTCGTTATCTGCCACTCTCTTACTCCCCACTTTTACCCCCACCTTCTTTCTAATCTTGGTTTTTGTTATTATCTACCCTCCCAGCTCCCTGTGACTGTGTGACTCAAAAAGGTGTTCTTTCCCCAAGCACTTTCCTGCCATCTGCTGGAAACTTGTCATAATAACTACAAATATGGAAATCATGCTTGAGTTTCCCACTTGCTGGCCTGACCTGCAGTTTAGACTGAAGTCTGTAACATCTACTCTTATCTGAATTTCCAGTTTGCTGGCCTGCCCTTCAGATTTTGGACTTGCCAGCTCCCATAATCATGTGAGTTAATTCCTTAAAATAAGTTTCTCTGACTCTCTTTAAATGGATAGATAGATAGATAGATAGATAAACCTATGTCTATCATTATCTCTCTCCATATTCTATTGATTCTGTTTCTCTGGAGAACCCTAATAGAGGTATAGATAAATAATATGACAAAATAACTCAGGGATATTGACTGTAAAATAAAAAACTAATAAATGGCCCTAGCCAGTTTGGCTTAGTGGATAGAGCGCTGGCCTGCGGACTAAAGGGTCCCAGGTCCCATTCCGGTCAAGGGCACATGCCTGGGTTGCAGGCTCGATTTGCCCCCTACCCCCCCAGTAGGGGGCATGCAGGAGATAGCTAATTAATGATTCTCTCTCAACATTGGTATTTCTATCTCTCCCTCTGCAATCAATGAAAAAATACATTTTAAAAACACACACACAAAAACAAAAATAATAAATGTATGGTGCAACTAAATCACTTGCAAGATTCCTTTCAGATATAAAATTTACTGAATAAAGCAATTGGAAATTTGAAGAAATATATTATTGTGGCGTTCATCTAAGTTTCTCTTCTCATGCACTACATTCCTTCTTTTCTGTTTTTATTTCTTTGGGTTAACATATTTTTGTTTTTGTTTTTGCACATAGTTAGTTCTCTTTATAGACTCTGGTTGTAGGAACAGGGTGCCTGCGGGAGGATATTTTAGTTTTTAGTGGGGGAAAAAAAATTGGAATGAAATTAGCTTATTGAAAAAGGAAATGCTCTTGGCATTTTAATTACAATGTGTCTTGGTGTGGTCCTCTTTGGGTTCCTTTTGTTTGGGGTTCTCTGCGCTTCCTGAACTTGTAAGTCTATTTATTTCACCAGGTAGGGGAAGTTTTCTGTCATTATTTCTTCAAATAGGTTTTCAATATCTTGCCCTCTCTCTTCTTCTGGTACCCCAATTCTGATG